GCCCTGTTCAAACAGCAGCAGCTGTACCATAAACCCTTTAGCAGCATGAACTCCACATTTAAGAGCCTAAAACCTCCCCAGCAAGCACAGGGTGCTCTTTCACCTTTCACCTGGGCTGCCAGGGTAGGGTGCTGTAGGCTTTACCTACTACTCTTAGTAGATAAAAAATTCTGGTCAGGGCCTTGCTTCAAGGAGAGGTGTTGGCTCAGAGACAGCCCACAAAATTAGACCGCCAAAGGCAGGCAAGGGAACAGCATGACCCCAAGCTGGAAAATTCCACTTGGCCTCTCTGTGCCAAGAGGGTCGGCAAGGGCTGCTGGTCGTCCTCTGAGGTGGCAGGTCCAGACACGGCTCGGCAGGCGACACTCCAGGACAGAAGCATGTTGAGAGCTCTGGGTTCTGGCCACAGACCACTCAGGGCTTGCAGGACAGAAGTCCTGCCTTACCTCCTGCTTTTGCTTCGTCCAAACATGTCCTGGAGAGGAGCAACCTGCTGGCTGCAGGCTGGTCCCTCCCCATCACCCCACATCGAGGGGTACCAGAACTCTGCCCTGTCTGGGACAGGAACCCCTCCAAGCCATCCCTCAGCACCCCTCAGACCCTGCTGCATCCCTGCTGGCTGCCCAACCTCACCAGCCTGTTTCTTTACTTGAAGACTTACTAGATTAATTAGAGGGAAAAACCAGCCCACAGACAGAGGTCTGGTAAACCACATTTGGCCAAGATGAGCCAAATGGGTCATCTGGCCTCAGCATGACACCAACAGCCCAACCTTCCACCCTGGTCATCCACGATGCCCTGCTGAGGCAAAAGCCTCTCTTCCTAGCACGACCACACTTGACAAAACCCCTGCAAACACACAGAAGATTCTGAAAACACGACTTACCTGAAAAATTTTTAATAAAGTTTTCATGTAAACCTTGCGGATACCAAAGGAGACTCCAAAAATTGCTGGCACGATGATGAAAACCAGAAGCAGAGTGAAGAGGACAGTTATGGAAATCCCCAAGAGATTAACCACCAGGCTGTCAAAGGGCAGCAGGAGGAACATGGTGAAGGGCCCAGGCAAGGCCGGGGCCCTGCAGCCAGACAGAAGGACTGCCCGCAGCGATGAACCAGTCCTCCTGTTACTGAGCAACAGTCTCACACACGCACCGAGTCCGCAGCCTGCTCACAGACCCCATTCCAAAGTTCACATCCTTTTGGGGCTCTGAGAGACGGGGAATGCAAGGGGATCAGGGAGAGCACTTGGGAGAACAAGCCAAGAGTCTGCCAGGAGGCCAGGCGAGCCGGGGCAGCGCGGGCCGAGGAGCTCAGGGCAGAGGGCACACGCACACCGGCCCGTCCATGGGCGCGCGGGGGGCACGGCAGCGACACGACTGCGGGTCCCCTCCCAGGCTGCTGCCGAGCGAGTCCTGCAGTGGGGCAGCTTGTGGAGAAGCTGGCAGCAGAATCCCCTCCTGGCTGCTGAGAGCATGCAGAGTCTCTTCAGAGGGACAAGGTGGAGTCCATCCCTGAGCCTGCATTGGAGGAGATGGAGGGAGTTGGCACTCGCAGGAGCCTACCGTGTGTGGAGCTATTATTGTTCTCCCCACGAGGACACGGGTGCCGGCACAGGTCCTCGCATGACGCCTGGAACGGGTTCAGTTCTGGAGGCCCCTGGCACCCACTCACGCTGAAGGGCTGTTACAGACACGAATGAAGCCTGTGTCGCTGGGAAGCTCTTCAAACAGCGAGTTGGCTTCTTGGCAGACGAGGCACTCACGTGCCACCAGCAGCAGCGGAGGAAAGAGCAACCCAAGTCAGCAGCTCGCAGAGGTGTCAGCGCAGAGATGGTGGCAGGAGGCCAGGGACAGTGGGCTCTGGAACCTGGAAGGCAGTGCTTGAGTGAGGTCACTCCACTGAGAGAAGCTCCTGAGACACAGCAAGACTCGGACCAGGACTCCAGCTACTGCCTGGCACTGTCACAGACTCGGGAATCACCTCCTGCTGCCACTCGTCCTGTATTTTCATACCAGTCCTGTATTTTCATACCACGCACACTCAGACTCAGGCAGAGCAGACTCATCCACAACCGTGCCTAAGGCACGGGACGCTGCAATCAGGTCCCGAGCACAGGAAAGGAGTGACAGAAAGCCCTTCCTTGTGACAGAGATCTTATCGCCTCCCTCATTTCAGGGCATCCCAGAGCACTGAGGAGGCGAGGTACCCAAATTCCTGGGAAGGCATCACTTCCTCTGCTCCTGTACATCTCATCCTCGGTCACACAGGGCAGCTTTACAAACAGTTCAGGACAGGAAGTTACCCCAGGGAGAGAATTACTGATGATGATTAGCCAAAGAGGAATTTGCTGGGGCACGGGGACCAGTGAAAAGGTCACACACCCTGCACCGCAGCCCTGCTGGGGGAGGATGTACATGCACAGGACCAAGGCTTGTGACAAGAGTCAAGTCTGCTCAGGGGAAACTCCCCTCCAGACACCACCTTCACCTGGCTATGGAGTGTCAGCCTGAGGATGGGATTTAACAGGTACCTGACAAGCACACAGGGCAGAGGAGAGTCTGTGAAGATCCTCTTGCTCCCCTGTACAGTGCGTTCCAGCTGCTGGTTGAACACGGCTGTACCAGTAACGCTAAGAATATGGTAAGTGCTTCAAAGACGACGCACAGACCATGTCCTGGGAGAGGCAGCTCGTCAGCCACACGTGCCCATTATGCCGGAGCCGTCACCCATCCGAACCAGGACTCACGCCGGCGAACAGGTCAGACCGGCCCCCCGAGCCGGGGACGAGGCCCTGCGAGGGCTCAGCTATCGCTCCCGTGCACCGTGTCACCGCCGGGCCGGGGCGGCCCCGCCCGTCCGGCACCGCCCCGGGGCTGGGGCAGCGCCCGCGGCCCGCACCGCCGCCCCGGGGCTGCAGCGGGACCCGCACAGCGGCGGCAGGGCCCGCCCGGAGGGCCGCGCTCGGCTCCGCTCCTCGGCGATCCCGGCAGGGCTGGGCCTCGGCCCTCCCGGCCGCCTCCGGCCCCGGGGTGCGCGCGGCCGCGCCGGGGAGGCCGCGCTCCCGGGGATAACGGTGCGCGGCGGGGCCGGGCCCCGTCCGGCCGCCCCGGGCCCGGGCGGGGCGGGGCGCGGGGGCCGCCCCGGGCGGTGGGTCGGTCGGTCGGTCGGTCCCTCCCTCACCGCTCCCTCACTCACCTGCCGCCGCCGCCGCCGGGCCCCGCTCCGCCCCGCCACGTGCCGTGCGCGCCCCCGCACCGCGCGGCCTGCGTGACGTCAGCGCGCCGCCCGCGGGGCCGCGCCCGCAGGGCCGGCCCGATCCCCACGCCGCCGGCAGGGGGCGCCCGCCCGCCCGGCCCCGCCCCGCGAGGTGGGAGGGGAGGATGAGGAGCAGGAGGAGGATGAGGAGCAGGAGAATGAAGAGCAGCAGGAGGATGAAGAGCAGGAGAATGAAGAGCAGCAGGAGGATGAAGAGCAGGAGAATGAAGAGCAGGAGGAGGATGAAGAGCAGGAGAATGAAGAGCAGGAGGAGGATGAAGAGCAGGAGAATGAAGAGCAGCAGGAGGATGAAGAGCAGGAGGCAGAGGCAGGAGTCGCAAAGCGCCATCACTTTATTAAACTCCCCGTTACAGCACCAACAATCGGAGGCACCCCCGCTGCTCTTGGCCTGGTGGCCCCACACTAAGCCCTTCTCGGGACGGTGGAGCACGAGGAGCCCGTCCCCTCCCCAGCAGCCCTCTCCACACAAGGCACTTGGGCAGCACTGGCCCCCGTGGCTCCCCGCGTGGCTCAGGCACGGCCACGGGCTCCAGCCCACAGCCTGTTCCTTGTCACTTGCAAGAACCTACAGGAGTCACTCCAAGCAGCAACTTCCAGCCTCTGCGGCAGGAGCCAGCAGGGAAAAAGCTTCTGCAGAGACCGGCAGCTGCTCATAGAGCCGTGGAGGAGCTAACAGAACTGTGAGCAGCATCTTCTGCAGCTGACCCTTCCCCCAAGACTCTTGTACCATGTCTGGGATGTGGAGGGGACCTACACGTCTTCACACATCGCCCTCCTACCAGTAAGGAGCCTGGGTCTCTGAACGCTGCCAGGTCTGCAGGTGAGACAGGACCAGGGCGGCAGCCCCAGAGGTGCCAAGGTGCTCCCAGGCCCCACTGGCACTCTTCACGGCACGGGAGGATCCGCCCACATGGCGGACCTTGTAGTTGTTCCCATGGTTGTTGTCCCAGTGGGTCTTCTGTCCACACTGGAAGGAGATGCAGAACTCGGTGGCCCTGCGGCCGCTGGCTGGCTTGGGCAGGGTGAGCTCAAAAGAGAAGATGTCTGTGTCGGCTGAGCCGTACGTGCTGTGCATGTACTGGCAGGGGACGTCCCGGAAGCTCTTCCAGCCGTCGAAGGTGATGCGGACTGCCACCTTCTTCTCATAGGCAATGTTTCTGACCTTCACTGTCCCTGACAGAGCACGGTCCTGGATCACACAGCTCTCCAGGCAGACGAGGTTCCTGTGCAGGCTGCTGCGGAAAGCCGTGTAGTCCACTGAGGGCTGTGGGAAGTCCAGCACGTACCTGCACGCTTCTGGGCGTGAGTCCCACAGCCTGGGGCGGAAGGAGGCAAGGTCTGACAGGGCATGCTGCAAGTCACAAAGGTCCTCCTCAATCCTTGAGAAGAAGCGGACGGCCGTCAGCGAGAGCCCCTTCATATCAGCAAACACGACTCGCTTCTTCTTCTGGCCCTTGGAGCTCTTGGTGTTCTCTCGCCGCTCGGGCTCAGGTTCTGCGCTCGGCTTCTGGTTGAGACAGGATCGGAGGGGTTTGCGGCCTCGGTTGCCCCGCAGCTCCTCGTAGGAGTTCAGCAGCTTGCGGATGGGGGGCGAGTGGCTCAGGCAGAGCCGCACGGCCAGGTCCACGGGCATGGCTGGGGGGGCGACAGCCCGCCTGCCGCACACCTGGAAAAGCCTAGAGGCGAAGAGGGGGTCAGGCCCCGGCCGCCAGCCCCGGCGAGCCCCCCGGCCCCGCCCGCCCCGGCCCCGCTCACTCGCCGCAGCTCATCGCGTCCCGCGCGCTCCGCTCCGCTCCCGCCGCGGCGGCTCCGCCTCAATGGGGCCGTGGGAGCGCCCGCGCCCGGGACACCCCGCCTCGGCCAATCAGCGCCGAGGCCACGCCCGGCCACGCCCCGGCCACGCCCCCCGGAGCGGGCAAGGAACGGGGAGACCCCCGGGGGCAACGGCACCGGGAACGGGCCCGGCGGGGGACAGCGGGGGGAACGGCACGGGAAGGGCTCCTGGTGCCAGAGAAACGCGAGTGCTCTTGGAAGAACTACCAGCACCGGGAGGAAGAGGAGCACGTTCCTCTCACGTTGTCTTCAATGGGGGAGGCTCAGAAGGGCTTTGCACATCCCTTTTCAGGTGCCTGTCCAAAGACAGCTATTTCCAGGGTGTCTAAGAACAAAGAAAAGCACAGACCCTGGGCTCATCCTCAGAAGCTTCTTACCCTAGTTGTGTGCACTGAGAAAGAAATTTGTTCACGCCCGAGCACTGTGGTGTCCCTGACATTTATATTCAAAATCACCTTCACTGTTCAGCTCACATGTGACTCCTTGACACTAAAGACTGTCACCTAAATCAGATCACCCCTGCCCTGTACTCCCTGCTAATCTCCCCAGAGCTGTCTAGCCATTTATGTTAAGCAGCCCTGATTGTTCCTGCTGACAGTACAGATTTTCATCAGCTCATGACACAACTGACCGACCTATCAGTATTTCTACACGGCTTTTCATCACCACCGTGTCTGAATGTCCGCAGTACAAGGCAAGACACCACTCATGGTATGACCAAAGTGAGGCTGAACCCAGTGCTCGGCTGGCAAAAACCTGCTGTTCAGCCCCAGCCTGTCAGCAAAACATCTGAAAGTGCCTTCCTAGCAATGAAACCATTTGCCCCACCTTCTTCTGGACCCTGGGAGAGCAGATCCGGCTCAGGCAGGGAAATCACAGCTCACCATCAGTGCCCTCCCTGCGACCTCTTTCACCATCTACCTACTCTGCATTCAGAGCTAATCACTCAGCAAACCAAAGCCATCTCACCCGGGGGGAGCAGGGAACAGGGAACATATTTGAGCCCAAGTTTTACAGCAGGCCCTGTGAAAGCCGCTCTCACTCTGCCCAGTCTCTCCCAGTGGCACAGATCAAGGTGCATGCACTGCTGCATCTTCTCTGCCTAAAAGCACAAGCTAAAAACCATCACTCTCTCGACAAAGCTGTGGACACACCTCCTTCCCCCAGCACAGACAGAACAGAGGTGCAGTGTTAGCAGTTCCAGAGCTGTCCCAGTATTTAGTCATGGAAGAGCACACAAGAGCAGGTAGCAGCATTTTCAGGTGTGCCACAACTGACTCTCACTTGGAGCCTGAGTGATCTCAGCCTGCCAGCCATGTCCACTCTCCTGCCCAGCCTGTGAGGACACTGCTGTGTGCCAGCTGCCAGGCTCCAGAGAGGAGCTGCACTCTGGATACCATCAGGTCAGTCGAGGTTCAGCTGCTAGAAGAGGACAGTGCCACTCATGCTTGCAGTGCAGCAGCCACGTGAGATGCAGCGTGGTGGCAAGCACGGGCTGTCTGGACTAGTGTTCAGTCAAACTGAATAGGGCCAAGGAGAAAGCTGCCAGACGTGCCACCCAGACAGTGCTCAGGCAGATCCCTGGAGCACGCTCCTGCAGCAGCAGATTAACGAGGACTTTGGCTGGGAGCTCCAGTCACCTCTGTGAAGCTGTCTGGCTGTAAATACAGGCAGGGCACAATCCACAGCCCTTCCTGGGGGGTTGTGCAGGGGAATGTGCTACTGATTCCTAAGGATTAAACCCAGCCTCCTCTTAACGTCTATACTTGAAAGAATCTTCTTTACCTAAATGGATTAATTAGGAAGACTATAAACCACACATGCAAAGCCACTCACACTACAAGACGCCCTATGTCACCCCCTGCCTGGCAGAAGAAGGTGCTCCCCTCACACAGAGCATGCAGGGAGGACCCTGCCCTGGCCAACACGAGCCCCTGACAGGTGCTGAGGTACCACAGGACACCCTGGCTTCCCCTGGAGGGGACCCGGCCTGGGTGGCCCCACAGGGAGCTCCAGGGAGCCCCAGGCCGTGTGTGTGTGGGGAGGGGTCGTGGCAGCTGCTCCCCCTGCCCCGCACTTACCGCTGCCCTCAGATGAGCTGCACGGCGCCCGAGGCCACCAGCGGGGCCACGGTCCTGTAGCGGATCAGGTGCTGGGAGCCCTCCTCCAGGTCGATGGCGTATTCCCTGTGGGCACAGGCGGCACCTGAGCTGCAGCCCAGCCCACCCACCGTGACACCGACCCGCACCCGCGCGGGGACGAGCCCACCCACCTCTGCTCATCCGTCTCTGGCTCCACCAGGATGTTCTCCTGCCGCTCCAGCACCCTCAGGAACACAAAGGAGTCCAGGTTGGGCTTTGGAACTGCACACAATGGATTCAGAGCACAAGCTCAGCCCCTGCTGATGTTCCTCCGTGGGACACCAAGGGGTCCAAGGGACAGCAAAGGGAACCCCAGACACCTCTGAGCACACGTGTGCCCTGCCTCAGGGCAAGGCAGGACTGCAGAGCAGGGCACAGCAGGACCCTCCAGCAGCAGCATGGAGCTGTGTTACAGCACTGTCAGCACATCATCTTTGCTTCTCCTGAGCAGCAGCTGGAGGACAAGCCCTCACATTCTGGGCTCCCACACTTTGCCCTGGCGCTACAATTTTCAGCTCGACCTGGATGGACTCACCTGATTTTAGGAGAGACACTTTCTGCAGGTTGGGTGGCATGTGTTTTAGGGCCACGTTTTTCAGGTAAGCCTCTGTGTTCGCCATGTACCTGGAACAAACCATTGGAGCACTGACTGGTTTAATGGAACACAAATCTGCAGGGAGAGTGCTGTTGTCGCCAGCAAGCAACAGCTCCTGGTCCCACAGGCACAGCCAGAGACAGGCCCCTTGGCTTACCCTGGTAACTAACTGACTTAGGGTTATTTTGTTTCAGCTCTCTTTTCTTGCCCCTAAGGAAAATCTCCTGGTAAAACATACTGATCCTTACTTCAGACCTGTCTAATGCTCTCAGTCTCAAGAACTGTTCAGCATAACACACAGGGGAGTTCTGTAATCTACAAAAAGGAAGGAAGATGCATCGAAAACCTACTCACTCTTTAGCAAAAGCAAACTCCTCTGGTGACAGGATGGAGGGCTCCCCTTCAGCTCGAGACTTCTCCTTCTCCAGGATGTGGGGGAAAAACTTCTCTATCTGATATTGGAACAAAATCCAAAAGAATGATACAGACCTCCCCCAAGAGTTCAGTGCCCAAATCCCCACTCTCCATTGGCTTCCCCTACAAGCAGCTGCATGAGCAGCCACAGGCCAGCCCAAATCCCTACTCCTGAACAAACTGGGACACCAGCCAGGCTGTACAACCACATGTGCAATGGCAGGGCTCAGGCAGAATGGGCGAGCACTCAACTGTGCCACTCTGGGCTTAGGTGAAGGAAACAACACTCACAGTGTTGTGACCAACACTACTGTGATCTCCCTTCACCACCACAGGGCGTGTGCCCAAAGAATTCATTCCCTTGGGCTGCACTTTGGAGAACAGGGAGAGAACACGCTTTAACTAAGTGTCTTGCTGAAGGAAGAGGCCCTGCATGGGTAAGAATCCCTCCTTTTGAGCAGTGCCCCTTTCTCCCCCCTGGGCTGCAGAGCCAGTGTTACCTTCACCAGCCGACACCTCAAGTAGCTGCTGAGCACGAAGCGGATCCTCTCGATCTCCATGCGGTGCACGCTCACCTTCAGGTCTCCTCTCTTTGCCCGCTTAAGGTTTGCTTCCTGCAGGGAAAAGCCAAGAGACATCGAGTGGCTGAAATGTCAAACAGCAAGAAACACAGAGCAAAACAGGTTTTGTACACAGAACCCATGGAATCAGACCGTGGCTGCCCTTGGTGACCCAAAGCACAGTGTTCTTGTACCCCTCAGAGAGGGTGCTCAGTGAGCCTTTGTCCCAGAGACAGGGAGCAAACAACTCCCAGAGACACCCAGGCGTGTGTCTGCCAGTCCAGCCAACCGAGGGCCCCTGTGCCGCCCCCCAGCCCTGCAGAACCCACCATGTGGTCCAGCTGCTCCACGACACACTCGACGATCTCGGGTCTGCTCTCCAGCAGCTCCGGAGCGAATTTCTCGTTGAGCCAGGCCTGAAAGAAGGTAGGCTGCCGGCGTGAGCGAGGAGCGCCCTTGCCACACGCCGCGCCCCCGGGAGGGCACAGACGCGGCCGCGGCGAGCCCGGGGGCCCGCACACGGCCCGGTCCCGCAGCGCCCAGCGCCCCCCGCTCCCCAGCGCACGGCACCTGCTCCAGGCTGCGGATCAGCTGTGCCGGGGTGAGCACCAGCTCCTCGCTGCTGCTGCTGCCGCCGTCCGAGTCCGCGCCCGCCTCGTCCCCGCCGGGCGCCGCCATCGCCGCCGCCATCGCCGCCCTCACGGCGGCCCCGCCCACCGCCGGCTGCGCACGCGCGGCAGCCTCTTCAACCAATCAGGAGGCAGATGCAGCGCGCGGCTCTCGGCCCGGGCTGACACCTCCCGCCCCCAGCCCCCCCGGCCCCCGGTGCCCGTGTCCCCCCGTTCCGGGTGCGAACCGTTCCGGGGAGCAGCGGTCCCCGCCCAGGAATCGCCGCCCCCGGAGCCGCGGGAACTCCCCGGGAACAGCCCCGGCCCCGATCCCGGCCCTGCGCTCACCCCCCGGCACCGCCACACAGACCCGCACTCGGTTTAAGAAAAGGTTTACTGATCAGTACTTCTGCCAATATTGCAACAGCTGTGAAAGGCAAACACTGTTACACAGTTTAGAAAAAACAAGTTTTTATACAATGAAAATATTAAACAAATCTCAAACAAAACCCCACAGTGGCTGAGGAATGAGCCTGGAGTTCCAGATCCAGTATTAGCACCTGCAGCACCACCAAATCAGCCCCTAGGCCCCTGCTCAGTTGTCTTTTCTGAACTCCTGAGTTCCTTCTACAACTGGACACTGACACCCGGCACCTAAACCCAGGCTTTCATCAGGGAAAAGGATGGAAGAGAAAGGATTAAGCCAGCTGGGACTGTGGGCCCTCCATGGTGCTGAGCAATGTCCATGCACGAGGCTGCCAAGGAATGCACAGCTCTGCTCCTGCAGCACCAGGACTGAGAGACCACCTCACACGACACCTAACAGCTCGTCAAAGCCATGTTTTCCTATAATTTATAGATAATAAACCCATAAAGAAACAGTTGTACACTTCACATATTAATCAGAGTAGGGTGGGAGTTGTTATGTTTATTGGCTCAGCATCCACTTTACTGTGCTCTCTGCTCACAGCCCAACAGGCCCCTCCTGGGGAGCACAAAGACCACCAGGGCTCAGGTCTGGCCACTCCTCCCCTTCCAGGGATAACCAACACATCCACACAAGGAGCACTTTGCCCTCTGGTTTCCTACAAGAGGCACTGCCTTGGGTCACTCCTGGCCAGGAAGAGGCACTGTGTATGTCCTCACTCCAGCACCGACCTGGAGGGGAACTCCCCACCCTGAGCTGGAGCTGTGCAGAGCCCGACTGAAGGACAGAGGGCTTTGAGAACCAGGGAGGAGCAGCACTGCACTTATGGGACTAAAGCTAACCCTCTGCTGGGCTGAGGGCCCCGTTTCTTTCAGGGGAGAAAGCAGCTTTACCACTTCTGCTTTTTCTTCTTCTTCAGAAAAAAAAAATAAATCCCAAAGCCAAAACAAAACTAAAAAGTGATTTCATTGCTTCAAAATCTCCTGTAAAGTGGATGCTGACCAGCTAGGTCACCCCCTGGGGAGCAGTTTGAGGAAGTTAGTCCTTGTAGTAGATGGCACTGTGGATCTGGCAGCAGAGAAAGGAATGATGCTCTAAAGTAGGAGGTAGGGGAACCTTGGTACAGCGAGTCCACCGGTGAGCTGTCGTCTGCAAAAGAAGTTTCACGGGATTAGAAACTCCTCCTAAGTCAAACCCTTCCACAGCTGCAGTTTGTTATCTCGGGAGGAGAGGCAGCAGGAGCAGCCTGAGCAGAACTCAGCACTCTGGATTTCGTTTGTCCAACAGGAAATAAAGACTTTTATTCTGTTTCTTTTTGCATAACAGGCATAAATATTTCCTCCCTCTTTCCTGCACACACTGCCAACAACCCAGACTTTACACCCCCATCCCAGGACCTGCAGAGCACCTAAGACAGGGCAGCCAGTTCCAATTTGAGCTTTCCAAGGCCAGGGATAGTAATTCTGATGTTCTGTATCTCCTCTGAGCACAGAGAAGAGGCTGGGATTGATCTGGGATCAAGGTAACAGGTACCTGAGACTCCACAGTTTTATCTTCCGCTGGTCAAACCTCTGTCTTCATAAATGGTAATTTCAATCTGCACAGAAAAGCTGTTAGGGAAACACACCATAAAGAGATTATGAAAGCATAACCAAAAAAAGGCAGGAGAACATCAGAATGATGGGACCTTTGACCTCTGCTTCATTCCTGCTGTTTTAAGGGAGGTCTCAGAGCTCCAAAGCAAAGGGAACAGCCCATGTGAGATGCCCTGTCAGGTTGGGTTCCACCACATTTTCACTGCCTTTCCATCTGCCAAATCTTAATGTACCAAAACCTGAGCAGAGACCAGGACACAACAGAGAGCACCATAACTAATCCCAGGGTCTGCTGTGTCACAGATCAGGCCTGAACAGAGGTGCCACACTGAGACAAACAGGCAGCACGAGCCAAGAGACAACCTCAGAAGCCACAAAAGGATACAACTCTGAGTCCTCTTTCAATGGGGTCTGTCAGCAGGAGGCCCTGAGGAGCATAGATCTTCTCATTCTGTTCCTGGATGAACTTGGCAATTTTCTTTAGAACCTGCCAACAGAACAGCACAGGAGTCACAGCTCCTTCCTCAGGCTTCCTTAGTCACGAGTCAGAGCCCCAGCAGTGTCACAGGTATGGAGAACCAGCACACACCTGGTCTGACAGCAAATCCCTGCAGGACCCAGGGGACTCAGGGACACCCCAAGGGGACCTAGGGACACCCCTAGGGGATCAGGGGCACCCCAAAGGGACCCAACTGAGGTACCTCCACAAGGAATCTGTCCCACAGCACTGCAGGTCACAGGAAACCCCCCCAGGCCCACGTCCTTGCCCGCAGGGGAGGCAAACACACACCTTCTCATAGTGTGTCTCCATGCACAGGAAGATGGTGTAGGCAGTCAGGCAGGCCAGACACCCCTCCAGGTAAGACTGGCCCCCAAGTTTTTCAGCTTCTGCATAGAGGTTGTTCAGCGTCCGGACCGTCTCCTCAAACTGCTGCCTGTCAATCTGCAGGAGAAGCAAGAGGGGCTGTCACAGCCTCCCACACCCTCAGACATCCCCCTCCTCTCCTGGAAGAGCTGCACTGTGCTCAGAGCCCCAGCCTGAAGGACACCCAATCTCAGGGTGCAGCTCCTGTGCTCGGGCCGGGCCTGGATTGCAGCACAACGTGCACACAGAGCCCCTCAGAGCAGCACACAACACCCCTCAGCCACCGTGAGAGAACCTGAGCCCACAGCCAGCAGAGACAAGCAGGTGGGGAGTGCCTGGACACTCCTGCTGCCCACGGAGCTGGCCAAACACCCCCCCAACAATCACAGTAAAGGAACGAGGGCGAGGAAAATGTGGAGCAACAGAAAGAGAAGGGGGCAGGAAGGGGTGTTTGTTTTGCTGTCAGCTGAGGATCTCACACCTGGCAGCATCGAGCAAAGCGAAAGCACTTGAGGCAGCACTTGAGCGGCCTCGGAGCGCGCTCGGCAGGACGGGCAGGATTCCACGGGAGGGGACGGTGCCAATGCCCGGGGGCACAGAGCCGGCTCTGTTCGCGCAGACACAGCGCGCACACTCTGCTCCCCTGCTGCCAACCCGCCGCCTTCCCGGGACGGAGACACGGGACCGAGACACGGGACCGGGCCCGGCACACGGGGGCGGGACCCCCCCCGCCCGGCCTCCGCTGCGGGTTTGTGCAGGAGCCGCTGCCCCACGCGCGGGGGTCCCGCGGGACCGGCCCCTGGCCAGCCGGGGCGCCCGCCCGTCCGGCCCAGCCCGGCCCGTCCGGGCCCGCTGGCCGAGCCCCGGCGCGCCCCGCCTCACCCTGTTCTCCAGCTCGGCCGGGAACTTGCTCTGGAACTGGCAGCGCGTGCCGCCGCTGTAGTCGCGCTGGATGAACACCTTGCCCGACACGGGCGCCTGCTGCGGCCTCATCGCCCCGGCCCGGCCCCGCCGCCGCCGCCCCGCGCGCTTTGCGGCTGTCGCGAAAGCGCCGGCGCCGCGCCGGGCAGGCCGAGGGCGGAAGTGCTGCCCGCACCGCGCCGGGGCGCGGCACTGCGCAGGCGCAGCTCCGCCAGGCGGCTGAGCGGCCGCGTCTGCGCGTGCGTGAAGGGAACCCGCGCTCCATTGGCTGCGCCATCACAGGAGGGGGGGGGCTCCGCGTGACTCCGCCCCCCCGCCGCGCACGTGGGACCGGCCCGGGAACGGCCCAAGAACGGCCCAAGAACGGCCCCTCCCATCCCGGGAACCGCCGGGAACGGCCCCTCCCATCCCGGGAACCGCCGGGAACGGCCTCTCCCATCCCGGGAACTGCTGTTGTGTCCCTGTGCCCCTCGCTGTCCCTGTGCCCCTGGCCACCATCCCAGCCCCGGCCAGCTGAGTGCCCGGTGCCCGCTGTGGTGCCAGCCAGTGGCTCGTTTATTGCAGCAGTTGATAAGACCCGTCCCCGGGTGAACAAACAGCTCGGGGAGAAGGCATTTGTTTCTTCAGTCCCGCCGTTTGCTCCCGCAGCTGGCCCTCCCCAGCCAGCTGGAGCTCCCGCCGGGAGATGATAAACGAGGGGAGCATCCCAAGGGGAATGAACTGCGGCGCAGACGGGATGTTTTGGGTCACGCTCCCTCTCTGCTGGGTCGGTGTCCGGCAGGGCTGCAGGGCCAGACGTGCCTCCCATGACCCCGGTGCCAGGGGAGGCTCCCGGGGCAGGATGTGCTGCCAGGCCATGGGGCGGGGAAGGGAAGGGGGCTCTGGGGTCACTGGCTGCAGCACTGGGGGGGGGGGGGCAGGCTGCTTGGACACTGCCCTGGCACATCTGTCCCCCTCTCCATGGACACAGACTCCTGGCCCTGTGGAACTTTGGTGTGGGAGTTCCCACCGACAGGGACTTCTCCATGCAGTAATTGAAAAATGCAAATGCCTTGTGCCCTTCCTGCAGGGAATCCCTCTGTGGGGCTGCAGCACTGACTCCCCTGGGGAAGCCAAACATCACACAGAGTGTCTTTTAAGTGGAAATGACCGATTTTTCACAATGAGATGAAGCAGAAATAATTAAGCAGGGCCACAGGCATAGTTATCTTGTACCTGATTGCCGGGGCTCAGCCAGGCAGGGATTACTTCACTGTCCTCTTTGGCTGGTTTTT